TCCCAACAAAACGCATATGCTAACTGGTGTTCCGTGAGAGTAATCTCAAGTCTCCTGCCGGCGCCCTAAACCGCGCGGTGCTGTCAGGCTTGTGTGATTCACCCGCATTCAGCCTCAAGCGGGAGAGCTGGCAAGGCCAGATCAAGCCCTCGGCTCAAAAACCCTAACCCCTGGTTTAGGGTTTAGGGTCTTTGGTTCAGGGTGTATACCACGTAGTGCAGGGACCCTGAGGGTAAATTGTCGGACAAACCTTGTCCTCGTAAGCAGCCACCGTCAAGGGGGTTTGGGGCTTTGGGTTGAGGGTCTAGGATGTATTTTTCCCAGACATGCGAAGTCCCACGACCTTCCACGTAATATAGGGGCCTTGATACTTAGACTGGGGTTTGTTGCAATTTTCTATTAGACTAGAATTACCAGAATTATAATTATAATAAGGATCCCCGCAAGAAAAACCTATTCCATGTCTTAAGGCCCCTACATTAAATATTCTTGTTGTGGCGAAGGGTAGAGGCTTGCAGAGTTTCAGCCCGGTGAGTTTCGGAGTTTTCGGCCTTCTGGGGTCGCAGCATTCAGGGTCCCAGCTTTTCAATAGTCAATACCTGTGAATCCAAAAGCCTATCGTTTTAAGGGTTCTACCCTTTATTTAAGGGGTTATAACCTACTATTTTGTAGTAGGGTTTGGGGATACAGGTAGTTGAACAAGGACCGACCAGAAGTACATTACAGCACATCATACCGATGTTATATACAACATTCTGTAGGGGCTCTATGAGGGAATGTCATTCCCAGCGGCCCAAGTACTCCCTATTTTAAGGTTTAGGGCTTAGGGCGGCCAGTTGAGTGCCAACAACCATACGTGCGAACTGTTTGTACCTGAGGGATTGCCTTCACGGCATGAACGTTTATGGGTGAGTTTCAATTGGATCTTGGGTCTTCAGCCTTGCCTGAGTATTGCGAAAAGGAACCAACGGACCCCCTTGAAACCCCCTGTGATCCCGGAACCCCCTAAACCCACCAAAAAAACCCTGTCCAAAAAAAAAGAAAGCATGAGAGCCCCAGCCCCGAGCTCGAAATCTGACCAGGCCAGAACTGTGGCAACTTGAGTCCGGGCAGAGTGCGCCAGAGTCCAACCATGGCCCTGCAGAGACCGGCTGCTACCAAGGTAGCGGCAATGAGCTCAGATGTCCCCTCACCTTAACCAAAGGTTCAAACCGAGGGTTTAGGGCTCTGTCCTTACATGAGGAGCATTCCCTAATATGGGTCTTGGGTAAGCTTCGGAGCCTGCTGCGCTACCGGCGGCCGGAGGTCTTGCCCCGGCGCTCCACGGTCGAGAGGCCCAAAGCCTCGGAAGCGTCGAAGTGGCGAGGCCTCTGATGGAGCTGAGAAGCTTCGCCCCGAGTCCCGGTATCATGGCTGCTTTCCAGGACGATTCCTGCTTGGCAGGGCGGCGTCTTCCCAACGAAGCCCAGTTGGTAATTAGAGATCTGAGGAGGGAACATGGCCATGCAGCAGGCCTGGAAGTGCTTGCTTGGGTGCCACCGGCATTCGGCGCTGCCTGGCCGGTGGTGCCGAGCTGCTGCCAGTAGCCCTTCGTTTGCCGGCATTTCGTGCACCTCGTGTCCTATGCTTGAAAGATGTGTTCTTGGCTCTTCGCCTTGGGCTTGAGAGATTGAATCCCGTCGCCACTAGGCGACCAAGACGGCTGCATCAGCTCATGGCCCCTTGATCTTGTCACTTGGCTGTGCTTGTTTTGGCATGGCAAACTCGGGTGCATCAGCTCCAACGGCTTCTGCCTCTGTCTGCCTCGGATACATCCGGTCTCTTCTGTGGCCTTCGGCAGCTGACCTGCATGAGCAGACGCTTTAGTTCCTGGACCCTTCGGGGAGATAGGCCAACCGTAAACCCTAAAACCTAAACCCTTTGGGGAGATTAGACTACCCTAAACCCTAAAGAACCCTCTAAATCCTGCGCCGAACACTGTGCTTGCGATGTGTGGGGGTCGTTTCGGCCGAGGCAGCCTGTGCTCAGCAGCTTGGAAGTCTTCGGAACCCGTCTTGAGAGTGCTTACTCTAGGGCACTCTAGGGTTTAGGGCTCCCTTCCCACGGCGTCCATGGCATTCCACGGCCCTTCTGTTTAGGGTTTAGGGGATTTCCCTTTCCCTTGTGGCTCACAAGGGCCCCGACGTCCGGCCCGGCAGCCTCAGAAGCAAAGACTCAGATGTTGAGCTCCTTTGGGGATTTCGAGGTTCTCGCCTCTCGGAGCGAACTGCCCTAGGTCTCGAGTCGAAGAAGCCTAGAAATCCTGTAGACCAGACCCCTCGTCTGGGATGAGCTGCTCGATGCTAGAGGGCAGTTGCCAAAGCACGGCCCCCTTCGGACAGAAGGTGAAGATGGAAGCCGAGTCTCTTCGAGACCTTTTCTGAAGCTCTTGTGTGTACATCCACCAGATCGCGAGGATTTCAATTTTGTCCAGGTCTTCCGAGTCAACTTCGGCTCGGCAGCCGAAGGCAGCGACCTTTTCAGAAGCGGTGAGGACTGCTTCCGGGCAGCCCGGCACTTGCGTCTGGAGCCACTGAGAAGTTAAAGCCGCATGCAATGCGAAAGGCCTCCTAATGCCAAGCTTCTCTGCACCTCGCCGGCTTACTCACAGTTTCGGAGCATCCCTTTCCTCTGGTGGTGTCGCCGTTGCGCCCTCCCTTGGCCTGTATAAGTGTGCAGACCCGTGTCGAGGGCTGAGGTAGTGCTTGAGTTTAGGGGTATGACCAGGGTTCGAGGGCTCGAGAATTTGGAGGCTTAGATAAGGGGCTCTGTATGGGAGCCCTTATTGCAGCAAGCTATGCCTGAACCTGAATAGTCAGACCAGTGTGCGAGCTTGTGGCGCCTCACAGCAGCGTTTCAAAATCCTTGACGCAGGAAGATTTGAAGCGGCATCCCACGATGCAGACCCTTTGACGGCGCAAGTGCAATCTCGACGTTCGAGGGTTGAATTGCGTCAGCTTCCAGAATGTTCCGGGGCAAGGGAGCCAAGGCGTGAAACAACTCGGAAACGCCCGTTGGTGTACATGTCAACCTCCATCCTCTGCAGTTTCGACGACTTTCAGGATGTTTGTGTGGGCAAAGTGTGAGGAAGGAGGAGCACAACAACCCACAGCCGGTGACTCAAACCAACGCTTCTTCGGAACGGACCGGTCTTAGTAGGTTCCTGGTGCACCGGCGCACTTGGCGGGCTTGGTTGCGATGCCTTTCGAAGTGGGATGGATCTATGACGGGATTGGGGCGCCCTCTCCAGTGACCATTCTGTTTGCGCGGAAGATCCAGCACAAGTATGCAGAGAGGTGCAGAGTCGAGCATCCAGCTGAAAGCATATAAGCTGTGCGACAATCCGCAGCGATGCATGCACAATCTTTTGCCGGTATCTGTCGAGGATGCCGTACTCAGGAATGGGAGGCAGGATGGATGCCGGCGCAGCCGTTTTGTCAGTGAGGATGTCTGTTGCCCGTCTCTGGAGGATGGTTTGGGCCCAAGACGCCGCTGAGAACGCCGGGTGTGGACACCGTCTGTCGTCCTTGGGGACTTCGAAGCAGGAGCTCCGGTTCAGATGGACCGGCCTCAAAAAGCAAGACCAGAAGGTGAAGATGGCCTTACAAAGTCGCCGCAGCCTGCTGGCCGGCATGCGCCAGGTCCATGCAGGGGTGAGGTGCAAGCTGTGCTCAGGGCATAGTTTGCTGTTCTTGGCCTCTGCAGATCTCGAGGCTTCAGCGTGCGACAGAGCAAACACCCTCCTCGGCATGAAGCCTTGCAATGTGCTCCGTCACCCTCTTCTCAGCAGCTGGGAAGCAAGTCGCGATCCACGCCCGTGCCAATCGCATTTGGGCAGCCAGCGGTCCTCTGACAGCTAGAACCCTAAACCCTAAACCCCCAAGCCGCCAAACAGTACGAGCAATCTTCCATGAAGGCTCTTCGCCTTCTCCATGCTCATGAGCCGACATGCTGAGGGCTTCAGGTCTTCCGAGTTCCTTTCGGCTTCGGAGGGGTTGAGGACTGACACCTTTCGACTTCCACAGAAGCGAACACAACCCTCCAAGGTACCCCTGACCCTCTTCATGGAAGGATCGGAATGCACGGGAGGAGCTGCAAGCAAGCCAGAAGTCGGTGCTGCTTTCACGTCTTGAGCCCTTCCTGCTTGCACGTGGCACTTTCGAGGGTCCTAGCACTCCCATGGACCCCCGTCGGTCTAAGCCTCTCCCTTCTCTCAATTTGGGGGTTCCCGAAAATAGGGGACCCTAATATAGTACCCCTAAATAGTAGGATCCTTATTATAAAGGACCGCAAAATAGGGGTACCCATTTTCCGAATCTCCGGACCGAAAGCCTCCTTTGAACTCTCCACAGCACGCGGCCCCTCCGGTCTCTAGGAGCCAGAGAAGCCGTGATCGGAGCCCAATGCTGCGGTTCCGGGTCTCTCAAAGAGTCTTTGCGGGTTCAGGCTTTTAGGGCGCCTGGGGTGTGACTCTGTGCCTTTTTCAATCATCAACTGAGAACTTTTACCATCGGTGCTGGCTAAATAAAGCAGCACCCAGGCTACGGCTGCCAGTCGCCGGTGCCATGATGTCATGGGAGGCTTTGAGCGCGCCCTGCTTGACACTTCCATACCTCAAACACTACAGGGCGATGCCCGCCGGTTTGACTTCTTGTGATGGGCCCTTCGTCACATGCAGGCCTTGATGCCAAAAGACATTTGCATCCCGACATGTCTGTTGCGTCCAGTCATGTTGTCCGCAACCTATCTTCAAGCAGCAGAAACATCTTGGGGTGCCGGCGCATCGACATGTGAATCTTTTCTTGGAAGCTGCAATTCGTGTCCATCCCATTATAGTTTAGCACTGGTGCAGCGAGCACGATCTCTTGTTGTAGTCGGGGATGACGCGATCACAATGCAGAAGGTCGCAGTCGGCATGCAACGTGCTGCAGTGCGACTCCTTCCTGTTGCAGCCTTTCACCGATGCAGATGGTGAGCCCATGACCCGATGTGCAAGGCTTGCAAAGCAACCTCGAGCCTCTCACGCTCCTTTGCGCGGGCAGAGTCTTCCAAGCCAGCGTTGCGGGTCAGCTCTAGCGTCAAGAAGGAGAGGTAGCAGTGACTCGATGTTGGTCTCTGCGCCTTGGGGGGCAAGCACAAGCCCAGAGTACCTTTAATGAGGGGCCTCCATGTCAAATCACGAAGCCTGTGACTGTGGCATCTCTGAAGCCAACAGATCGGGGCCATGGACGATGCTGAAAGCCGTCCCTCTCTGCCCTCGTAGCTTCTTCCAACTTCTACCCGGGCAGCATCCGGCCAGCCTTTACCATCCACCCAGAGAGCCCAATGCACCTTACCTTTACGATCCATGCTGGTCGTCTCTCAATGATGTGGACTTGGCAGGTCCGCTTGTCCTCCTCTTACCCAGAGCGCCAGACTCTGAGTGCAGCAGGAGGTTGCTGATCCGGCGGCAAGATTTTTTTCATACCCTAAACCCTAAAACCCAAAACCCTAAAGCACTAAAGCCCTAAACCCTGGGTCTCAAACCCTGCAAGAGTAAGAGGCCTGCTCCGAGCCAGGGGGCGGAACATCCCAGAGGGCCCGAAGAAGCGTCTCCTCCTGCAAAAGGAACCTCCAAACGCAGCAAGCACTCTTGAATGGAGCCCCATTGCAGGCTTCGAAGAAGATTCGGGGTTTTTAGGGGAGTTTGGGTTCCCCTTCTGCCCGTTGGAGTTGGGCGGGGGCTCTTCTTCCAACCTGCGTCACGAAGCACGTTCATGCGGAGATCGGGGCTGTCTCATTGGAGCATGGGCTGTTCTCAAGACTTCGGGCTCTTTTCAAGGACCTCAGCACATGGGTGTCTATTCAATCAAGACTCTAAGTCCTCAAGGCGCTTTGAGGACTGGGAGTCGAAATTTAAAGCAGAAGAGCTCTCGCATGAATCTGTGCCGGACGGCCCGCTGAAGGTCTGCATCTCTGACATCCCCTGACATCGCATCGCTCAGCATGAAGCCGCTCAGCTTGGGATTGATTCGTTTAGGCTTCAGCCTTCACCGATAGGGTTTGCATGGTTCTTTGTCAGCACAGCAGAGCCGGTCCTAAATCCTAAACCTCCCTAAACTCCAAACCCTCTATTCGGAGCTTGGGGACAGAGGCGTTCCTAAATCCCGGGCTCCATGCCGCCCTTAAGGTTGGGTTAAGGGTAATAGACGGTATAGAGCTTAGGGACTCGGAGCTCTTCGAGCTTCAGGGCGCCTGTGAGTCCTACAACTCAGATCTCGAGGATGCCTCGTTATGATGAAGGCCCTGGAAGGTTTGGGGTTTGCCCATAGGCCCCTAAGTGGTTCCTTTTTTGGGAGTACCTTATAGGATTCTCAACATGAACCCACGAAGCGGAACTACATAGGGGCCTATGGGTAGGGCCCTGGGGCCTCTAAACTTCAAGGGCCCTGGGGCCTCTAAACTTCAAGGGCCCTGGGGCCTCTAAACTTCAAGCTCTGACGCCATGAGCGACTCTGAGACCTGAAATGTGCGGGGCTTCGGGCTTCTGGGGTTTAGGGGTTTGGGGTTTAGGGTTTAGAGTTTAAGTTTAGGGTGTTGTGGTTGCCAATAGCTTCGAGATTCGGTTGGTAATGGGTCCAGCAGGCAAAGTTCCAAACCGAGGTGTGGCCGGGGTGCACCCGCTGGCAGACTGCCCCCTGCTTCGCCAGAGGTTAGCACGGAGAGGAGGCGACCCTGAACCCCAAAACCTTAAAACCTACATCAGCTACGGAGCTCAGTGCCGGGAGCTTGCGTTCAAAAGCCAAGAGCTCTCGTCCATACTCGTAGCGCCGGATCATACCCGCTCCCTCAACGCCAGAAGAGCATCAGGAGTCGGGCTTACCGAGCTCCCTTATCCAACTTGCACCGGACATATAGGAAAAGGAACCATCAGATAAGGAGCTTAGTGCAAGGAGTTTGTGTTCAACAGTCCCCAGAGTTCTTCCCTTCCGTGGGCCCCGATCGGAAAAGCTTGGGAGGTACGACAGTGCATGCTACTTTTGGTCCCGCATGATCGGGTGTGGAATGTCATTTGGATAAAGGGTTCCTTTAAGGGATCTGTAGGGGGTTCCTTTCCGGGCTCCTTGAAGGGTTCCTTCAAGGGATTGCTTCGACTGGGGCAGCTTCATCTAGCAAAGCCGCTCTTGTCTTGCATATCCTGGCCGTAGCATCATCGAACCTTGTTCGTTGCTATACCGTGGCCCCCGGGGCAACGAGGTGTAGCTTTTCGGTGAAGAGTTTGGGCCTTTTGGTTGACTCAGTTGGCAGAGCCTGCAGGTTCAGACTAAAGATCACTCCACACGCTGTCCGACAATTCTGAAGCAATTCCTTTTCTGGAACACGGCTGCCGGTGATGTTCGGCATTTACAGAACGCGTGCGAGCAAGCTCGACACTGCTGGCATGGCTTTCGCGGCAGGTGTCCAGGTATCCATCATAATTTGGCCAAGCCCTTTCCACTGCCACCGCTGCTGAACAAATCTGAAGGCCACCAGATGAAGGCCGCAGATGTTGGAATTTCTGGCCGTGGCCATTCCTGCTGCCGCTGTGCCTTTACCCGGCATGCTCAGGAGCAAAGTGCCCCGAAACCCTAAGCCCTAAAGCCCTGACCTATTGTACGGTTTCCTTCCGCCTTGGCAGGGCTGTGCTCCTCGATGCAGGTAGCCGCAGTGCTTCCGAGTTCATGACACCTTGCGGAGCAGGAGCCCTTTTGCCCTGCGGAGTTCAGGGTTTAGGGTCGTAGGTTTCTCATAGGCAGGTGTTCCTATCCAGGCCCCATTTCGTACCTCTGCCAGAGCCATCCTTCACTGCGCTTTTGCTGGTGCGTGAACACGCCATCTATTGCATGTGGCGTACCAGAAGGTGTTGCATTGTGTTGAGTGCTTCCCAGCATCATCCACAGAAGCACATACAATCATTCTCTTGGCCGCCAGAGGTGCGACCAAGTTTGCAACGCAGCCTCTTCCATCTGAGATCCTTTGCAGCTTATGAAGTTGCCTGTAGCACCTTCCTGAAGAACGACGGCAGTTGCAAGTAGAGTGAACGATTCTGCATTAACGAAACCGTAGCTTTCACCCGATCGTGCTCACTTGCAGCAGTCCCGACCGGACGAAATCGTCTCTCAGCATCGAAACCGCCACGATCTCAAATGGTTATCTGGATGGGGCTGTGAATCATGGGCATGTGCTTCCTGCAGACATGAAGCTGTCAGGAATTCTACGGACTAAGCTGCAAACTCAGCCTGTTCTTGAATGGTACTTGCAAGTCTCCAAGCTTCCCATCGACAATCTCCAGCAGCCAAATCCTCCTGCGTTTCTTGCCACACAGTAGCTTCGCGCCAATCTGTGCCAAAGCAGACGGCCGTATCTTTCAGCCGTCCGATACGTTAACCTGAACCCTACTAAAAAGCTTCCAAGCTCTTGAATCCTCGTCGTGCCCGCTGAACCTGCAAGATGTAGCCATCGCACAAAGGGGGCCTCTGTGCACGTCACTGCCTTCCCCCTTTCTTGCTGCATGTTGCCAGGGTCAGGCTAGATCAAGTCTGGATACACTGGGACGTAGGTTAGGCTGCACTTTGCAAACCAGGGGTTAAAGCAGAACAATCCGTCGGGAAAGTGAGTCTGTTTAACCATGTGCTTCGAACATCAAGAGCCCTCGGAAGTTGCGCCGCTTTGAGCAACACAGTCATCGAGCAAAGCCCGGTGGCACAGCGCAGCAACAGCGAGCCTTGTTCGGAGCGCCGAACAAAGTGCCATGTATCCACAGCTCACTCAAGACGAGGCCTGCGACCTCTGCGGTTTAAGGCTTCAGGGTTTAGGGCAAGTTTAGGGCTTTAAAGTCCCGAAACAACGAAGTTTCTAGAGCCATGTTCAGATGGCTGCACGGAGGCCCTGCCAGTTCTTCTCCCTGAGCTGCTGGAGCCTCAAAATCACCCAAACTCCGAAACGTGCCTTCGGCGTCCTCATGCAGCACAAGCACTGATCGCAGAATCCCGCGTAAGCTTTCCGTGAGGTTTAGCGCTTGTAGGGTTTATAAAACCTTCACCTACAACACTGCGCTGTGAGAGTTCGACCGAAGCGCGTCGCTAAGCCATCTTTGCATCTCGCAGCAGGCAAGGCCAAGGCGTCACTACAGAAGCGTTTGCCAGCAAGTGAAGTTGCCACATGAGCGGAGGTCTGTGCTTGAAGCCAAAAATCCCTGAACCCAGTAACTTTGCCAAACTTGCAAAGTGTCTATGGCGTAAGTATCGGGTCTAGTGAGCTCTTCACCCCGTTAAGGCAACGGGCAATTCAAAGGCTCAGGTTTTCCAGCTGTACTAGTAGAGTTATGTTGTTTCTTCTTGCTCAACGCCCTCACCGATGTGCCTAAACCCTAAACCCCAAACCCTAAACCTGATGTTCCCACAAGATGCCGTCGAGCGTCCCCCAACGGCCCGGTAGGTGGCTGACGGGAGACGACCCACGCAAGCATGCCTCACCCCAAGATTTCCAAAAGGGCCACCTTCGTTGCGCACAACCTCGTGAACCCGGAGCCCTATGAAGCCTTTTATAGTCTAGGTTTCGGAGCGCCTTTTGGGCTAGTTCCCGGGTCTTCCGAGGACAGCGCCCTTACTTTGAGCTGCAACGCTTGGCCAGGAAGTGCTGTGGCCCGCTCGGGACACCTGTAATCAAATGGGTTCGCACCGAGTTTTTTGTGGGATCCCCCATTGTATGAGCATTTCGGCTGCTTCTAGTCACTCAAACGTCCGTAAGAGCCCAATATCGGAGGTTGGCGTGTGTAAGCAAGGGTCTCAAGGAATCGGATGGCATGGGGTCGGGATCTGGAGTTTTCCGAAGTGCTCAGGAGTGACTCAGGATGGCCCCTTTTCTGATCCACTCTGCTGTTTACCCGGAAAAGGTGATCTCTGAGAAGGTCACCCCTTCGGCTTTATAATAGGTTTTCGGGTTTCGGCTTTAGGGTGGAAAGGAGCTCGATTGGAGGCCGCGCCTCTGAGGCCTTAAACCTCTCTACTCCTCTTGGGAGTTGATGAGCTTGCCGCCGCTTTCGCCTGCTTGTGGTAGATTCCAAGCCTACGCTGCAAGGATCTCGTGAGTTTTATGGCGTCTTCTCGCAACTTATTAAGGGTGTCGGTTCTGTGCCCGGAGTCCTACGACTGTCGGAGAACGTCCAAGTTTTTGGGCGGAGTCAGAGGGTTCCCGACTCGCATTTTTTAGGCTTCCGGACCTGTCAGAACCCCACCGTGAGCATCGTCAGCAGAGCTTTTAGCTCAATAGATCCATCCGATGATGCACCTCTCCAGCAGCTCTTGAGAGGACTTCGCACGAGATCCTTCTTCGTTTTGAAGCTTGAACCCAAGCCTAGCGGCAGGTACCAAAAGGCTGCCTGCCCCCTGCTCCGCTGCGGTTGCATGTGCAGGCCATGTCAAGTGACGCCGAGGACTAGCTGTCGGGAAGGCAGTTCCAGCTTCGCGTACTTGGGAGTTGGTCCACAGCCGGAAGGGTCAAAAGCACCCTTGAACGGCACTGGCTTGGTGAGCACCTGAGTGAGACCTCCGTTCGATTAGCTTGGTTGCGACTGATGGCACGTTGCAGGAA